TGCACAATGGACTGGAGGGAGGAAAGACAAAGACCAGGTTGACCAATAAGATTGTTGGAATGGTCCTAGTTAGAGAAATTAGAGACCTAAACTATCACTACTGTTATTACTACTATTACTATTCTGACTACTGTATAGTGGATTCTGACTCATAGCAACCCTATGGGACAGAGTAGAGCCACCCCACAGAGTCTCCAAGGAGCAGCTGGTGGACTTGAACTGCCAATCTTTTGGTTAGCAGCTGTAGCTCTTAACCACTGCAACACCAGTTCTCTATTATTAGTAATAATACTATTAGTAATAAACAAACAAACAAAAAAAAACCAAACCCACTGCTGTTGAGTTGATTATGACTCATAGCGACCCTATAGGAAAGAGCAGAACCGCCCCACAGGGTTTCCAAGGAGCAGCTGGTGGATTTGAACTGCCGACCTTTTGGTTAGCAGTCAAGTTTTTTAACCACTGTGCCACCAGGGCTCCATTATTAGTAACAGCTAACATTTATTATGTATTTATGATGCAGCAAGTACTGTAGTAAGAACTTTATAGGAATTTTTTTATTTAATCCTCCTAACAACCCTATTTTTAAAACTTTTTATTTTGAACTAATTATAGAGTTACAAGCAGTTGCAAAAAAAAGTACCGTTCACACGGTTTTGCCCAAGAGTAGCATCTTGCATAACTATAGCACAATATCAAAACCAGGAAATTGCCATTAGTACAGTCCACAGAACTTAGATCTCTACTAGTTTTAAAAATATTTGTGTTTGTGTGTGTGTGTGTGTGTGTGTGTGTGTGTGTGTGTGTGTGTGTGTAGTTCTACATAATTTTATCACATATGTAGATTTGTGTAACCACCACAATCAAGATACGGAACTGTTCCATCACAAGACTCCCTTGTGCTATGCCATTATCACACCTACCCCTTTCCCCCATCTCTCACTCCTAGCAACCACTAATCTGTTCTCCATCTATATGATACTGTTATTTCAAGAATGTTATATAAATGGAATCATACAATATGTAACCTTTAGAGACAGGGTTTTTTCACTTGAGATCATCCAAGTTGTTACATGAATCAATAGTTTGTTCCTTTTTACCTGCTGCATAGTATTCCACAGTATGGACATACTACACTTCGTCTAATCATTCACCCGTTGAAGGACATTTTGGCTCTTTCCAGTTTTTGACTATTTTGAATAAAAACTGCTATGACCACTTGTGTACAGGTTTTTGTGTGAATATAAGTTTCCATTTCTCTGGAAAAATGCCCAAGAGTCTATTTGCTAGGTTGCACAATGCTATTTTTAAAGATAAAGAAACAGAGACTATAAATGGTAGAGCTGGGATTATAATCCAGACAGACTACCTCTAGGCACTAACTCTTCATACTATTTCCAGCAGTTGTAGAGATTGAGAGAAGTAAATGGAATTAAAGAACCAGTAAGAACGTATTCAATAGAACCTAGCATTGTCCATAGGAGGAGTATATGAGTAAACTATCAAAGATGATACCAGGGTTCCAGCTTTGGCACGTCAGACAGATGATTAAAGAGCAAATATGAATTCACTTTTACACATACTGTATTTGAGGGACCTGCAGGTCATCCTCATCTAGCAGGTACTTAGATTTATAGAATAGGAACTGGAGATCAAGAGAAAGCTCTAGATTAGAGATATATAATTGAGAATCACCACATATAGACACTAATTGAAGTACTGAGAGTAAATAAGATCACGGAGGTGACGTGAGAACAGAACTCTGAAGAACAAAAACACTGAAGTCTTAAAGTTCATATTCATACTTTCCCCTAGTTTCCCACAAACACTAAAAGTAGCTCCTGTGATAGATTGCAAATTCATATTAACTTTAGTTTTACAAACACTTCATGTCTATTATTTGAGTCTTACAACCACCTTAAAAGGTAGAAAAAACATAATATACTCTCCCCTCTCTACTTCCTTTTTCATTTAAAAAGAATGAACTACAAAAGTAACACATGCTGATTAAAAAGTCTTAATACAGAATAAATAAAAGGTATAAATTTCACTCCCCCCTCAGTATCCAACTCCCTCCCTCACTCATTTTTTTAAATACACTGGGAAAAAGAATTTTAGGAGGTAAACTAACAAATCTTAGTAGTTAACAAAAGTCTGTATCAATTAAGAATCAAGCACAATCAAGAGTTAAGGATCCATAATGAGAAAGGTGATAAACTTGATTCCAAGATTTTTTGAAGTTCAAGACGTTACAATATAACAAAATAACTATTCTGTAACCCATGCTTTTCCATTCAATAAATTGTCATTTACTATACTTTATGTCTATTCTTTTGGCAGTTATAGTTTAAACCTAGAAAGTACTATAGTTCCATAAATAATCAAAGTCACGTTTCTTAATACATTCCATAATTCAGTCTTTTCTCCTTTTCTCAAAACTGAATTCTACCCATTTTTTTCTCACACCTGTGTCCACGGCAGTCAGATACTCAAACAGAAAGTCTAGAATTCATAACGATGAACCACGAACTTCTAAACTGCACCTGTGTCAAGGTCAACTCATTAGTAAGTCTAAGTTTTAACATATATTATTGAGTGAATGTTCAGGCAAAAAATAAAATGTACATCTTTACTGTATCATGACAATATCACAAAAGAACCTTTGATCAAGAAAACTTTTCCCAATTCTTATCAATTTAATTCTAGAAATAGACTGCTTTCAGATATATTCAGAGCACAGGATATAAGTAAATATCTGTGCAGATTAGCACAGGTTTCAAGCATGAAAGAAATTAACTTGGTTTACAGAAAGCAGCTAAGTGCCAAGTAAAAATTAATCTAAACCAAAACATTCAGCAGTTATTTTTGGCAACTTTGACTCCTGGCTACAAATTATATCCCAGCTATGACATTAAATGGTGAAAATTTATTGAGCTAGAAAAATATTGGTAGATTTGGCAGCCCTTTCTCTCAAGCTAAAACTACTGTAACTGGTTCATACCACAAGTGCTAGAGCCTTGAATTAGAGCAATGATACTGAAGTAGAAGCCAGTGGTGAATCAACTCATCTAAGGAATTTCTTTTTTCCCCGCATATACATACACCCTTTCCATCTTCCCCCACCACTAAGATTCTGAAGGGAAGTGGAAATAATACACGGATATGTGTGTGTACACCTTCTTTTTAACTCTTAGAATATAACATATACAATACTTTCCACCTTTATGAAAATTCCTGAATTGGGTTCAATCTTTTCTTTCTTAACATTATACCAAAAGCAGGCATAAGGAGCAGAGTTACAAAGCACACCAGCTCAGCAGAAAGCTCTGCAGGTAAGGGGCTGTACTAATACCAGCTGTAAGCCACCTTTAAAGCTTTCTGTAGCAGTTCCATTTAGAATCCATTACATTACATTTTACACAAGGACAAATGTTCAGTTCATCATCCTGTGAAAACCACATAGCCTACTAGCCAGATAAGAAAATGTAAAAAGAAGCAATTTGGGGCATTAAAAAAAAAAAAAAACTAAGAAGCCACAGTCAATGAAAGACAAAAGTTCTTCTGTTCTGGCATTAAGACAACAATAACAAAGAACTATACTGTGTAGCTGATAACTTGTTTGCAGACTTTCTGCCCAGTTTTAAAAATCATTTTAGCCTTTTATTATGTAGCAGCAGTTTTTCTATCATAAAGTTCAGTTAAACTGAAAAATCTTTATCATTTTACAACTTTAACATACTACTACTATACGAAGCGAACTGTATTAAAAACAATCAAACAAACCTAAATCTGCATTGCATGTCAAGACAGCTTAAGGGATAGATTAAAAACAAAAACTTTCAAGGTCCATTTTAGAGCAAATGATTACATTTCTTTACAGCCATTGTTTCAAATGCCTTATAAACAGCTCTAAAACTGCAATGTGTCAGAAGACTTCTAATGATGTATAAACAATCAGCCCATTATTATATACTAATTAGGACTAGTGTTTCTTAAATTACTTGGTAGTTTCTTACTTGGTGTTCAACTTTATTGCATTCTACAATGACACCTACTGGCCATTCAAAATCAGCCATTAGTTGTCTAAGACTGCTCTAGTAGATTGCTTACATAATAGGAAGAAAAACACACATACATACATATGTACACACACACATGTCACCCTGCATAAAAGCAGAGATTTGTTCACAGGTACTCAACACACTACAGAATTGCTCCCAAAATAGAACCAGAAACATTCTTTGTGATTGAGATAGCATTATTCTTGCAAAACATAGAAGACAAAGACTGAAGCACCAAGTAGCAATTAAATTTTTATCTAAAGCATTGATAAATATCTCATTATTCTAAACATTTCAGAACAAACTAACAAACTCTAATGATCCACCACTCTTTCCTAAGTGATTTTTTGAGAAAAAAGGGAAATTTTGACTTAGGTTCTGGAACATACTAATACATCATTAATAGAAAAAAATCACATCTTAGAAAGTTATTCTGACATGCAGTATTAAAATAAGCTTAGGAAAATTATTCACTTGCTAATATTACATTAGTTTTTATCTACTAAGCTAAAGGCGACATATCAAACAGCTTACATTTTAGCAATTTATAACGCTTCTTTTAAAAGTGTTTTCCACTGAGCTATAAAATCAAGTTTTTATGTAGTATGTCCTTCCATAACACATTGAATGGGATTCAGATTTTTATTCTACATTTCATTATGCAAATAATGAATTATAAAAACTTCTTTTAAAAAAAAGATAATCATATCTGTAAACACATTTTACTTCAGTTCAAGAGGCTCAAAGAGCATACTTTTAAAACCTAACAAATAAATAATTCATAACTAGCCTCTCAGACTTACATAGCAAACTACTTAAGAGTTGACTTTTATCCCATTTCAGACCACCACCTTATTTTCACAGTTCCTAACATTCACAATATCTGCGGGAGAATCTACTAAACTAATTTTCTGGTCATTTCCAACTTGCTGCACTTACCTCCTATTATAGATCTTGTGAGGCTCTTCACTTTCCTGAAGATTTAAACAAAAAAACTGTATTTGTTATCAGCCTTGACCCTCAAAACAAATACATTCCGGAACTACAAAACGCCAATCTGGCCACCTCCATCTCAAACTAACATCGTATCTCTCAATCCAAGTCCATATTTGGGAGAAGCTCTTCGTGACTACTCTATCCTTCATGTTATCACCCTTCGCCTACAAAGCCTGCCTGGGTAGAAAGCACTCAAGCCAAAGAAGAAAGTGTTCTGACACATCAATAGGTTGTAAGACCTCCTCTTTCAGGAGGGACAACCTACTTGTTTGGGTAAATAACAGCCAAGGATTACATAATGTATAGCCATAAAGAGTTTCAAGGATCTGACCACCAGTAAATATCTTTCTTCTCCACTCCCTCCCTCTTCACCCCGGGAAATAGCCCTAAGATACAATCCTTAGGATTTCTCTCAGGTGCCTGCAATGTCGCGTCCTTTTTTCGCCCGGGGTTTCGTGCAAAGAATTCCTCTCGCCCTTACGACACCCTCTTGCTCCTGCCTCTCTGTTCCCTCCCTGCTGGCGCCACCGCAGCCCCCCAAACCCAAGGCCCCCGCGTCGCCCCACAGGGTTCAGCCTCTACCTGCCTCAGCTGCCTTCTCCTTCTCCTCACGACCCTCCCAAGGTGCTACCTGGTCTACCAGAGGTTCCGGAACCACCAACACTCTAGCTACCGCCTTCCCAGACCACCCTCGTCAGCTCCCCGATATAGTTCCTACAGCCGGAGAAGAGGAAAATCCCTTCTGATCTACCACTTCGCGTCCCTCAAAGACAGCGCCGCCGCCTACTTGTCACCCCGCTCTCTCCGGCTTCCTACCGCCACCGCCTCCCGCAGTAGCCTGCCAACTGCAGCGCAACAACCAGACCTTCCATTGGATATTTCCACGCTCTCAACAACATCACTTATTGGCTGCAGTAGTCCGTGGTCCTCCCCTCTGTGCAGTGGCTAAGGATTCCGGTCTCCAAGCAAGGATAACATCTCTTCTTTCCCGTCTTTCTCTCTTCCACAATTTCTCTTACTTCACTCATACTGAGGATTCACATATGTGGGAAAAAATGTTAATTTCCAGCCTCCCTCGTAAGTTTTCCATCTCTGCCAGGAATCTGTGACTCGATACCGGAACGTTAAATGGCTTCTCTGCTTTCTTGCCGTAAGGAACCCGAGGTGACAACTTCCGTTTCCGTTTGGGCTCCGGCTGAGGCTTGAGTTTTGAGTGTCCTGAGAGGTCAGATTGCCACCAGGTAAATTAGGTAGTTGATGGGAGCCCTCTGGATTGGGGATAAGAAAAGACATTCTATTTTGGGAGTTGTAGAAAGGGAGCGTCTTGATGGAGAAGGATGATGAGAGAGGGCAGCTTAAGAGGGAAGGAACTGGATAAAGTAGCGAGAAAGAACTGTAAAGTCCTAGTTTAAGCTGAGGCAGGGAGGGGTTGTTGGAGAGGGATGTGGTGAGAATTAAACTGTGGTTGCCAAATCCAAGTACTTTTTCCCTCCCCCCCCCCTTTATTGTTTAGTTTGTCTTTAAAACGAATAAAGGCAAAAGAACACCCTAAAATCCGAAACTTGTAATGCCCACCTCACAAGTTTGTATGTTTTTTTTTTTTTTCTTGGTATAAATATTTATGACACAATGTTAAATGACAGAAGCGGGATACAAAATCTCATCCATTTTTAGAGTGATAACTTTTAAATAGTATACACGTGGGGCAGGAACTGGAAGGGAACACAAAAAGTGATAACAGTTTATTTGTATTTTCTAATACTCGCAATTTTAAAAATGAGGGTTAAATTGGGATATAAACCAAAGTAAACTGTAAAATTAATATGTTGTGGAAGTGACATTATCCTGCTTCCTTTTTAGGGAAACTATGCCACCACTTTAATTGTACTTGAGTCAGCCCTCTTTAGTGGAGATTTATCTCGACCTAAGTAGTAGGTTCGCTTCAGACATGGGTAGATAGCTTTAAGTTTTTTTCATGATTGTCCTTTCTATGTTGAACAGGTAGTTTAATAACTACCTGTTGTTGAATCCTAGGCAAAATGTAAGTCACTTTTTTCTAATTTTATTTTTTATTGTGGAGTGTACATGCAGAGTAGTGTATAAAACATATATACGTTTTAAAGAATTATAATTAAGCAAATACTTGTGTAACCAGCCCTCAGGTTAAGAAATAAAGCATTGCCAATACCTGATAACGTGCATTCTCAATGGAGATGATATCACACAATGGGGATATCACCCCCATTGAGGGAGGGTAAAAAAAACCTTAGATATTAGGATGGTTTGTGGTCCTCCAAAGGGTCACAGTACATAAACAGATATACAGTATATCTGTGATGTTAAAATTTCATGGAGGAGGGGAATGATTAGAAAAAAATGTCTAAAAAGGTTCTTTACCAGAACCAATTGCCATTAAGTCGATTCCAACTCATGGGGACTCCATGTATGTCAGAGTAGAACTGTGTTCCATAGGGTTTTCAGTGGCGTGTTTTTCGGAAGTAGATTGCCAGCTCTTTCTCCCGAGGTGCCTCTGTGTAGATTAAACCTCCAACCTTTTGGTTAGCAGCAGAGTGCATTAACCATTTGCACCACCCAGGGACTCCAAAAAGTTTTCTTAGGGAGACAGTAAATTTTTAAAAAGGTGAGAAACCATGCCTTAGAGGCTCCTTATTTGAGTTGTGATTCCATCTTCTTGAAGTGGTAACCACTATCCTGTCTTGTGATCATTCTCTGTTTAGCTTTATTCCATGTATAATACAGTCCTAAAAAAAAAAATTGTTTTTTTAACTTTCATAAATGGGATTCTAGTGTTCATATTTTTTCCCTGACTTACTGCTTGCTTGTTGTAATGTTTGTGAGATTCATTCATACTTTTGCATGTAGTTTGTTTTTGTTGCTATATAATATTCCATAGTGTGGCTATACCATAATTAATCCATTCTAGTATTGTTGGACATTTTGGTTGTTTACAGTTTGGGGTTAACATAAACAATGTGGCTATAAAGAGTTTTTAAAACATACCTTGTTGTACACAAGTTAGAGTTTCTCTGTAGAAGCAGTTTATTATAGAAGTATAATGTGAGGCACATATATAATTTAAAATTTTCTAGTAGCCACATTTAAAAAGCAAAAAGGAACAGATAAAATTAATTTTAATAATATATTTCATTCAGCCCAATATTAAAAATTTTTTAACTTGTAATCAATATTTAAAATTGAAACATTTAATGAAATATTTTACATTTTTAATAATGTCTTCAAAATTTATGTGTATATAATACTTACAGAATATCTAAATATGGATGCTAAGTTGCAAATTTTACAATTGAAAAAGTAGATTCCTGGTGGCATAGTGGTTAAGAGCTGCATCTGCTAACCAAAAGGTCAGCAGTTTGATTCCACCAGGCCCTCCTTGGAAACTATGGGGCAGTTCTACTCTTTCCTATAGGGTCACTATGAGTCAGAATCGACTCAGTGGCAACGAGATATGCCCAAATTGTTCATACACTCTTTAAAATTTTCCAATAACTGATTTTGAGAATTAGTTTTGATATTTAAATAAATTAAATTTTTTAATTCATAGTTACCCAGTTGCACTAACCACATTTCAAGTACTAGTGGCTATCATATTAGACAGCGCAAATCTAGAGTACACATATCTAGGAGTAGAATTCTGGTCCATAAGATATTAGAATGTTCAGCGTTTCTAGGTCATGCCAAACAGTTTCAGATGGTTGCACCAACTCACATTCTCACCATCTGGGTGTGAAAGTGGAAGGCACATCACAATGTTTTCCCTAATCACGGTCTTGCAAGGTAGGTCTTAGCCTCATGTTATATGAAGAAACTGAAGCTCCGAGAGATTAAGTGACTTATGCAGGATTTTGCAACTATCAATGGTGCATCCAGGATTTGATGCCAGATATGTGTAGCCCAAAGTCTGTACTGAAGTAGGAGAATTCCAACTTTTTTGCTTCAGGTAATCCACATGTCATTGTTTGATTTATGGCTATTATGAAATACAAATTTTGAAAGAAAATGAAAGATTCCTTAGAAAGGAGTATTGTTTAACATTTTTTGAAAAGTCATTTAAGTATTGTATTTAGTAGACACCTTAAAACACGTAAAGGGACCCTTTCTGAAATATTTTAATTAGGCAGAATAGAAAACACATTGAATTTATTGAAGGAAATTTATTTAGGATAAATGAGTATATTTTCTTTTTTTTTTAAGATTTATCTTCCAAATTACTTAGTATTTTGAGCATAATAATATTGTAACTTTGAAACAACCTTCATACTCTGGGGATGTGTCAACTTTTATTTTCAAAAACAAACTGTAAAAAATTTTCAATCTATTCCCTTCGAAGTTCATTAATATTCAGTTAGGATTAATATTCTAGAATTGGCAGTTGCCAATGTAAAGATTTGCCTTGAATCTCTTTCAACATTTTTGGAATAAAATGTTACTTAAAAAAAAAAAATCTTTTAGGCATAATGTGAAGAAACCGAGACATTATCATTCCAATTAAAAACTTCTAAAAGTCTTTCTTTTGTAATAATGTTATGCTAATGTTTTTACAGCAACATGTAGAAAAAAATTGGCATGGGGCGCCTATGAAGATACCTCGTGGAGGGGAGAGAGGGTGGTTGGCAAACGTAGAAGGCACGCATTATTTGTGTGAAGATACGGTAGATTTTGAAAGTCAGTCTGAAATCTGAAACCATGTTTTTTCCTTCATATTATTGATTCTCCCAAGTATTAAAGAAATAATGGTGTTTCATTCAAAGTTGTGAATGTTCTAGTTTTAGCTTGCGTTGGTGAGTATTGGCTTTCATTCTCTCTTACATGTGAAAATCATCAACATGTTTGTAAATATCTTAGCATGTTTATAAATATTATAAGTAATAGGTTGGTTAATTTGTCAGAATTATTATGCACGTTTTTCCCCTGTATTCTGAGACCTGTTGAATGAAAAGAGCATTTAGTAGCATTAACATAATGTGCCTTTAGTATACACTATCTAATAATTACCTCTGTCTTCTAAAATACAGTATAGGAAATCCTGCCTTATTATTGGGTCTGTTTATATTAAATGTAGACATAATGGTGATAATTATTTGCTTGGGTATTACTTCTGGAGAGCAGTGATTATAGAATAGCTACTGCTAACCTTATGCAAATTATAGTATAGCTTTACTAACTCATACCCCCTTAATTTGAAATTCATAGCAATTAAATGGGGACTAAGCTGGTTTGTTTTTACATTATCTATAAAAATAAGACTAGCAAAACTGAAGTCTATATATAACCTTTGAGGACATATTTTATACAAGAGAGCAAACATGTTGATAAAAGGGTCGCTATGAGCCAGAATTGACTTGATAGCAATGGGTTTGGTTTTGGGTTAAGGTCTTTGTGGAGCCCTGGTAGCACAGTGGTGAAGAGCTCAGGCTGCTAACCAAAAGTTTGTCGGTTTGAATCCACCGGCCGCTCCTTGGAAACCTTACGTTCTACTCTGTCCTGTACGGTCACTATGAGTTGGAATTGACTTGACGGCATTGGGTTTGGTTTTGGTTGGTTTAAGGTCTCTGATAGTCTAGTTCGGTGACTGACAAACTACAGCTTGTGAGTCAAAGCTAGCCCCCTGCCTGTTTTTAATATGGCCGTGACCTAAGAATGGTTTTTACAGATGAACATTTGCAAGTTAAGGAACACTGACTTTGAACCCTAATTAACGAAATGTTATCCCCCAAGAAAGGAGTTCCATTTTTTATCAGTAGACCTATATTACAAAATCATTGTACTCAGTTACTATTATATTTTGGATTTTGTGAATTAAAAAATTGTAAAAATGTATTTTCTCTCATTATATAAGTTATTGTTCTTAGTTGCCATCGATTTTACCTCTTGGCAAAAAAAGCCTAAAATTTTTACCAGCTAGCTCCTTACAGAAGAAGGCCATGTGGTCAAATATGCAATAATACTGCATTTTAAAAGGATTAGCTAAAGAAGGCAGGTGACAAAACAGTATATACGACGTTTTTGTTGTCCATACTTGTGAACTATCAAAGGACTAAAAAGAGGGAAGCTTCTAAACTTACTTAGAAGTTAGGAGTATGGGCCCTGAAACCAAACTGCAGGGTTCATATCCCATTCCACTTATTATTTTTGTTACCTTCAGAAAGTTACTTCTTGGAGTTATTGTCTTCGTGTCATTGCCTTCATCTGTAAAATGGAGATAATATTAGTAAAAAGAGCTCAAAGGGTTTTAGTAGCAACAGTTAATGCAAGCAAAGCACTTAGCATAATGTAACTGGCACATAACCAAAAAACCAAACCAAACCCATTGCCATCGAGTCGATTCTGACTCATAGCAGGCACACAGGGCACAATAAATGTTTGCTATTATTGTATTGAAGAAGGAAACTTAAGTAGTAAATGGTTATCTCTGAGTGGTGGAATTACTGATGATTTTTCTCTTTTTTTAATACTTCGATTATGTGTATTTCCTAACTGTGAACATATCTTAGTTATGTAATATGATACTGTTTTATAAAATCTCTTGAACTCAGAATTTTCAAGTATTTATACTGGCTCTCTTTTTAAGACTTTAAACATTTCACTTTAAAACAAACAGTAAACTTCGGTATTTGGTATCTACAATTTGTATTTTCCTCTCTAAAGGTATCTTTTCCTATAAACATGGCCTCTGGACATGGACATGAACATGGCCATGGACATGAACATGGCCATCATAAAATGGAACTTCCAGATTATAAACAATGGAAGATAGAAGGAACACCATTACAAACTGTCCAGGAGAAGCTGGCTGCACGAGGGCTAAGGGATCCATGGGGCCGGTAAGGGGATTTATCCTAGAGAATTTATATCTATTTTCCTTTCCCGTGTATTCTTCTTTGAAGAATCATGCTAAAGGGCTTTTTACATTAAAGTTTTATTTTTATTTTTTTAATTTTGTTGTTGAGAATATACACAGCAAAACATACACCAAGTCAATAGTTCCTACATGTACAATTCAGTAACACTGATGACATTCTTTGAGTTGTGCAGCCATTCTCATCCTCCTCTTCTGAGTTGTTCCTCCCCCGTTAGCATAAACTCACTGGCCCCTAAGGTTGCTTATCTAATCTTTTGTGTTGCTATTGTCAATTTGATCCCATATAGATAGTTCTTAAAAGAGCATAATGTTCAAGGCAGAATTTTTTACTAGTTAAGCTAAACTATTGTTTGGTTTTAAGAAGACTTTAGGGGATATTTTTGGTTTAAGGTTTAAAAATTATCTTCGGGCAATAGTTTTTTTTTTTTTTTTTTTTAGATAACTCCAAATAAATTTTACTGTAACAATCAAAAAGAAGTTTTTTGGAATATTA